TTTTTTTTTTTTTTTTGTCATAAGGTTGATACCAAAAACCGGTTGTCTTTTTGTACTTAGACCCTTTTAAGATTTGCATTTACAGACAGGCCCTTCTTGCACTATTAACCATTAAATACCTTAGGACAAAATTATATAAATATGGGTCAAAATACCACTAAGTCCTTATACTCATGCATTTTATTCAATTTAATCTTTGTATTCAAAATCAAAGTAATTTAGTCCCTTAATTGATTTAAGAAATCGCTTCACTTTAATCCTTTCTCTAACGACCTCCAATTTTACCATTAAAAGGGATGATGTCATCATTGACATCGCATTGACATGACATATTATGGTAATGTGACAATGTTGATGTGACACTAACATGTTGACATGTCGATACCATGTGACAATACTGACATGGCAAATTGAGGAAAAAAATTTTAAAAATTGTGTCATGTCATGAGGATTAAATTAAACAAAAATCTATAATACAAAGACTAAATTGAACAAAATTTAATTATTTAAGGACTAAATTGAAAAAAATATTTAAAAAATATAAATCTTTAAGTATATGATACATATATTTATTAATAAGCCAAATGTTAGGTGTAAAAGATTTATGATGGTAAGAAATATATATAAATATTTTCTTACTTTATCATTTGATTTCATTTTAGGTACATTAATTTATCTATTTTGTAAAAATTAAGTCTGAATTTTCTTTTTATAAAAAAAAATCTAATATTTTATCTTGGATATATACTTATAGAAAGATAGCATCGTCATTTACACGAAATTAGGGCAATGACGACAGATTTGCATTTCTAGATTTTGATTTGGATATTATTCTTAAATTCTTTTAAAACAACTCTTTAATGACAACGTATGTGCATATTTAGGCCTCATTATTCTTTGTTTTTTTTTTTGTTTTTAGCGATGATTATAAAAATAATTTCTCATTCTAATGTGCTTAATTTGGACGTGATAAACTTCTTATCACAGTCATAGAATCTGAGCTACTCCACCCTTTTGATTTTTTGTTTATATTTTATGTTTTTATTTTCTTTAGTATTTAAGGTTATTTTTTTATATTGAAAATTCTTAGATTAGAGATTGCATTTATAACGATAAAGTTAAATATAATTGATTGTGGTTTTTGAAATTAAATAAAATTGTTTGCTAAGACACTTTGAATAAATTTAAATAAAAGGTAAATTGGGTAAGGTTTGAATAATTCTAAAAGAATGGGTATTTGTAAATTGTGAAAGTTATAACTAAATCAACATATTTTACTAATTTAAGTTCAGCTTAAGTTAAAAAATAAGTCAAATTTAGAATATAAATTTCAAAATTTTATAATATTATAAATAGAAAGAAAAAAATTGTTTAGTCTTTTTATATTATTTTATTTCAGCATAATGCATTTTATTCATCCAAATCTGGCTTTAAGAATAAAATTTTAATCAAATTTTTTTTTATAGAAGGGAATTCAATCATAATTTTTGTAAAGAACATAAATTAATATACATATTTTGAAATTAAATAATCAAGTAAGAAAATATTTATATATTTTTTTTAACATTATAAATCTTTTATATTTAAATATTTAGCTTATTAATAAGTATATGTATTACCTACTTAAATATTTATATTTTTCAAATACTTTTTTCAATTTAGTCTCTCAGCACCTTAATTTTATTCAACTTAGTCTCCCTATATCATAAATTTTTGTTCAATTTAGTTCTTATGTCGTGACACAAATTTTTTTTGAATTTCTTTTTTCTTAATCTATCATGTCATACTAACACATCAACATGTAGTGCCATGTCATCATATTAGTGCCACGTTGTAATTCTACGTCATCATATTAGTACCTTGTGGTACTGCCACATTATCATGTTGGTGCCATATCATCAAAATGTATCATAGCACTGATGTCATCCCCTTTAATGATAAAATTGAATGCTATTAGGAAGAGAAATTAAATTGAAATAATTCTCAAAATTAAAAATTAAATCACTTTAATTTTAAATATAAGAAGTAAATTGAACAAAATACATAAACATAGATATTTGATGAGTATTTTAACCAAATATGGGATGTTACAAAAAACCATTAAGAAAGGTTGAGTGGCAGGGCCCTGTAACATCGGTCTCTTTCTCCCTTCGTTTGCTCTGATTTTAACTTATGCCTTTAGAATTATCATTCTTAGAAATTGATGCTATTGATGTTCACATGGCATTTCTCGGTCGCTAGTCCGTGTGAGGGACCACACATCTTTGGCAATATCTGCCTCGTCAATATCCCCAACAGAATAAAAATTTACAACGAAAAAAAGGACCATGATTATTGATTGAGTAGGCAATTGGATTGTGACTAAATTCACGTGTATACAGTAATTTAATTCATTAATCGTAAGAATTGAAATAAAACTATATGTACCACCCAAACCGGCGTTTGGAAAAGTTGAAGTCCTCAGTCCTCTTCTCTCTTTATCCTACCCCTTTTACTTTTTCTTAGAACCACTTGTCAATCTTGCAAGCTCGACAGTTGAAGCGAAAATGATGAGAACTGATAAACTGAAGAACCCAGGGCTTAGCTTTGCTTTAGCAGTCCTACTGATTTTACTCAACACAAATGTTTCCAAAGCAGCTTTGATCAGTAGGGACAGCTCAAGCTCGACCAAAGCAAACATTGCTGAGTACATTGGAGAAGAAGAGTTCTTGATGGAGTCTGGTGCTGGAGTGAATGCAAGGCTTCTTGCATCCAATTATATAAGCTATGATGCTTTGCAGAAGGGACCAGCTTTTCCGGGAAACAAGTATGCTATAGCCCTCAATAAGGACAACAGGGGTTGCCAGACATATGACAAGTGCCGCCAAGGTAAGTAGTGAATGATCTATGATCAAAAACAAGGTTTAGACTACAAAAATGACCTTGTTGTATCTATAATGTGGCTTCCAGTTCACAAAAACAGAAAGCCATTCTGTCTCCTTTTTCTATCTGTATTATTGTGCTGTTGTAGCTGTTTTTTTCCCCTGCTTTTCATCTGGATTACTTTAATTTTCTTGCGCTTTAAATCTGGTAAATTTCTGACCAGATTCTTAATTAACAATGCATGGATTCAGTTCATCTTAAATGTGAATCATTCTCCTGATTACTGCTTGATTATGCAGTTTCTATGTATGTTCTTTAATTTGCTGTTCTGTTAGGATCTGCCGCCTTTGTACTAATTGTTGCAGCAGGCTTGTCCTTCTTTCCTCAGATATTTATGAATTTCATCATTCATACGAAAAAGAAACACAAGCTGATAAGATCTCAAGAGATCTTAATTTTTCTTTTCTTAATTTGGCAAAAAGACAAGCAGACATGTTATTTGCCGGATATAAAATTACCTGAAAATGCTGTAATCTGGATGTGTGAGTTTATTTCACCATTCGCAACTAGTACGATTATTGATGGGTTATATTTAAATTAATTACATATTTTATACTTAAATTATAATTAAATTATCGATTTGACATTTGATGTTTAAAATTTTACAATTAGATATTCGAACTTTTCTTTTATTAAACAATTTTGTTCTTTTGACTAAATCCTTTGTCTAAGTAGATAACCACACAAAAGAATCAATAAAAATAAGACACATGTCTAAAAATATCATGTCATGTTACTTTTATTTTTTAAAAATTACAAAAAATAAAAAAAATAAAAAAAAAAACCAAAAAATCGGGAGGATAGAGAAAAATGATGGAAAGGCGGATCAATACCATCTTCCCCCTTCCTTCTATCTTTTGCCTTTCCTTCCTCCCCACTCTTCTAAACTCCCTTCTCTCTTATTTTGTTTTTAAAAAAAAATTAATTTTCTGTTTCTTTTTTCCATTTTGGATTTGTGTGGAAATCTTAAGATTATTTTTGTATTTTTTCCATTTTTCATTTTTATATTTTGAAATTCCAAATTAAGACAACATAAACCCAATCTTTTATTTTCTTTTTATTTTCCAATTTTTTTATTTTGAATTTCGAAAATCATCATAAAAAATAGATTTCTATTTTTTTTTCATTTTCCAATTTTGTAAAGGAATTCTTATAGAAAAAGATTTAGAGGATATTTCTTTTATTTAATAATTTTCTGACCATACATTATATTCCTGAATTTACATGACTCCAAACGTTTTGCGGTACTTTCAAACTAAAAATTAATAATTGATCCAATTGAAATCGATTTTCTATTCTAACAGAAGGAATCGCGAATTGCAGTTATTCAAGTTTTAGGTATCAACAACAAGTGAGAGTACGTACTTCAAAAAAATAAATAAATAGAATTGTCATGATACTTGCAATTTTTTTTTTATATGCAACTTGTATTAATATCAGGCATCAGTTATGTCTTTTACTTCTGTTTTACATTCTCCTTTTATATTCATCTTTATATTCATCTTCAAATTCGATATTCGATATGCAATTTATGAACAAATTAAGCTTTTAATTACTAATTTTCATTTATTAAAATCCTTTAATAAATTTTCGAAATTCATATATGTCACAAATCTAATACTAACTTGATGTTTTGAATTTTTATTTCAGAAGAAAAGTTTTTACAATTAAAGTACAATAACATCTTTCCTCAAAGAAAGGTATGATAACACCCGTCTATTTGACATTGTCATCCTTTGAATCCGAACTCTCTGAGAGAAGATTATTAGAACTCGACATAGTGAAGTCACCTATAGCAAAACTATAACCATCAGAACGCATGGTGCTCCTTGATTTTGAAACTTGTTCACTTGACCCACTAAATATCTCATCATTTGTGGAAACAACCTCTTTCACCTCACTTTTTTGAACCTTCTTCATCCCATCATTAGTCTTCTCTGCTGTCTCCTGAAGCTGCAAGGCAAATTCAAGGCTCCAAACTACATCACTGATTGTTGGCCTTTCAATTGCTTTGTCACTTACACAACTCTTAGCAGTCTCACCAAACTTCTTCAAACACTCGGGTGCAATCTCACCCGTCAAATATGGGTCTATAATTTGATCAAGGGTTCCCCTTTGACAACAAATGCGACCCCAATTTGCCAAGCTAACTTGCTGCTTTGGCAAGTTTTGGATTACAGGCGGCCTAGCACATAGTGCCTCAAACAACACCACACCAAATGAATACACATCAGATTTCTCAGTTAGTTGCTGCCTAAGATAGTATTCTGGATCTAGGTACCCGAAACTACCCTTTACCACAGTGCTGACATGGGTTTGGGACATGCTGGTGGGACCCAATTTGGACAAGCCAAAGTCTGAGACCTTAGCAACATAATTCTCGTCCAACAAAATGTTGGACGATTTCACATCACGATGGATGATACTTTGCTTCGCATCTCTATGAAGATATTGCAATCCACGGGCAGCTCCAAGGCAAATTTCAAGCCTTAACTTCCATGATAATGGGGGTTTATCAGTATTGTAAAGATGATCACGGAGGTTACCATAGGGCATGTACTCGTATACAAGTATCATCTCTCCATGATCATTACAGTAGCCAATTAAAGACACGAGATGAAAATGCCTGAGTTGGGAGAGCATTGCGATTTCTGTTTGGAATTCGTGGTCCCCTTGTTTTGATGATGGATTTAGCCGTTTGATTGCTACGGGGGTGGCACCACCATCAATGAAACCTTTGTAGACATTGCCAAATCCTCCAACGCCTATTAGAAACTGTTCATCGAAATTATGAGTGGCTGCTTTGATCTCAACAATTGAGACGCGACGGCAAAGATCAGAGGGGAGTACAGAGGAAGTATCTTCAGGTTTAGTGAACTCTGAAGAGAGAGATATTGAGTCCTTCACTCTTCTTTTTCTATGGAAAATAAAGCAACCCGAGAGAAGAGATAGGAGAGTTGTAGCACCAAGCACAGCTCCAAGGATCGGAAAAATTGTTGACAGTTTCTTATTTCTTGAGCTATTCTGTAACCTGGGGCCCTGCTCAGGAGATATAGGACTTGCCAAAGGGTCTGGGTTAGGCCCTGCTAGAATGCCTTGAGAATTGTTCAGCTTGAAAATCTCTATCCCGTTCAAGATGGCATCAGCAAATTTTGGAGTTGAATCAATGTTAGGGTGCAAGGCTAGCCACAGTTGCTGCTTTGTTGCAAGTACCACATAATCTTTGTACATAGGAATCCCAGACCCACCGGTCTGTTTAAACAGATCAATTTGTCTCTCAGCCGTCTGATTATTAATAAATATATCAAACACACGCTGATTTCCTTTATTGATCTCCGGGTTCTCACAAAAATGCAACCTGACAAGGTAATAGAATCGCTCATCAACGCGGAAGATCCAAGTGAGGTTGTAATTAAGATTAATGTGAGAATCTACATCCATGGTACGCTCGGTGGCATATACATTCACTGGTGCAGTGTACGCCGGTGTCTCTGGTGTGTATTGGATTGAATAGTTCAGGAAAGATTGTACAGTCCCAACTGCACCCGCGTAGATATAAGCCTCATCTTGGTACCATGCTCGATTCATACCGGTATCTTCTATGTTTCTGATCTCCTGTCCCCCAACATTTAGACGATAAAGAGTCTCAAGATTGGTGGTATTTGGCAGAAGAAAGGGAGAGCCAGGGCCAACTAAAGTCGGCTGGTTGTCGTCACCACGCATGTAGAGGCTGCTTGGCATGGAAACAATTTCTATTCCATTAATGAAAGCATAAGAGTTGGGAGATGGTACAAAGCTTAGGCTCAGCATCTGATTGTCCCATACGGTAATAATGTATTCTTTGATGAAGTTGAAAATTTGAGGTCTGGTAGCGGAAGCGGTTAAATAGGCACTGAAATTGCTCAAGAGGGTGTAATTATTCGCATTGACAGAGAAGAAAGAAGTGGTGATATTTAGGCCCGGGAATTCAGCTGAATAGAAGTAGAGACGAAGAAACTTTGGGCCAGGTGATACAGGGAAGTTGTAGGTGAATTCAGAGCGAAATATACGCGCAGTCATGTATGGTATTCTGGTGACAGAGGAGTCCTGTTGGGAGGCTGTGGAAACAAAAGATGCATTTTCCCTGTTAGGGGCAGAAAATTTTGAGTGATCAGAATCGGCTTCCCAGCTGCGGCCATCTAATGAAGTTGTGTTCGATGGTGCACCACAATCAATGAGTATATTATCTGTAGGAATGTATGGAGGCGAGTTTTCGACCGCGGCGATGTGGAGGAGGAGACGGAGAAAAGAGATGATGTAGATGACCAAGGTTAACATTGTATTGAGTGTTGAAGGTGTCGCTACTTTCAGAGAAGTTACAGTTTGTGACACGGTGATGATAACCCTAACGGATAAAAGTAGTTTCGGTCGGACCCCTGTATCTGTCTCTCCGATTCCAGGGATCATTCCAAGAAGACGACTGGCATATTTATCAATATATTTAATTTGTTTGTGGAGAAATCTGTGTAAGTAGAATAGAGTCAATTACCTTGACATCGAGAAACGAAGTGTAACAGAAGATGTGCTCCAAGTGGTAAGGAAAAGGCTGTATGCGATTAATCAAAGAGAATCTTAGACTCGATAATTCTACTAGTTGGAAAGTCTTTGGCTTCATGCAATGACTTTTCAGTCATCATGTCCCACTCTTGGATGTTGGAGTGTTGTTCAATCCACCCTTCTCCTTTTGTGTACATTTGGGTTGAATTTTCATCTAGTAAAGATTTTTCGACATTAAAAAATTAACAACTAAATCAATTACTTAATAATTTAAATACTGTTATTAGTTTAGTCATATAATTGACAACAATGGGATTGGTGATAAATGACTTTTAAGAAAAGAATGACTTGAGATTGATAACTTGGCTTTGAAATCGATAAGGATGAGATTGAAATTAATACTGAGGCAAAATTTGTCCCACAAAAATCAATGACGTTAATGAAGTGAAATGTGATAAGGATATAAATTAAAGCTGGCATATTATGTACAATTTTACTTGATCACATTTACAAAGTTCAAAATATTTTTGAAATCAATAAATTATTTTATAATGGTAATAATATATTTTCATATATGTATAAGTAAGAAAACATTATTTTTTGACATATTACAATAATATTATATTCAATAAAACAACAATTACTATTAACTAATAATATTATAGTCAAAGCATTAGACGAAAATTGTAATAAATTAAAAAATTCAGTTAAAATAAGTAAAAATTGTTTAAATATTAAAATTAAAATTTACTAAAATTAAGTGATGAAAGTTAAAATTTATTATTTTAATTACAAAAAATTTGTAACTATATATTCTTATTTTTATTAATTATTTTAATTTTAATTATTTACTTATTAATTTTATATAATTATATTTATTTAATAGTACACTAAATAAAAATTAAAATATTATTTGGAAAAATATTAAATAAATACATGAAAAATGTTGAGATTGGGGCCGGAATCAACAAAATCGGGCTGCTAAAATGGTAAATTTAATCCCTTACAATAATTTGAAAAAATTTGATTTTTATACTTTTTAAAAGTGATAATGTTAATCTAATATGTTAAAAATTTTCTATTATTTATACTAATATAACATCTAATTGTGTTTTTTTCAAAAAAAAAAGCTAATTTTATTATCCTCACAATTGATATTGCTAATATTAGTCTCGAACTGAAATTGCTGGAAACTCTCGTTGGCATGAAAAGCAGTTTCGCAAAGAAAAACCCATACAAAAGGAAAAGGGAACGGCTACTTAAAGAAAGCAGTTGTCCCTCATCAAATAGCAACCAACTCAAGAGACTCCTAATCTTGCCCAAACACAAAACCTTGACAGCAAGGACAAACCTCCTAAAGCTGTCAACATTTGACCTAATATTTTCTTGTTATGTGACATTGAATATGATGATTTGATATTTTATAAAAGATGTAATAGTAATGTCAATATGACATAATTAAATACTAATATGGATTTTATAAATGTAGACATGAAATTCTCTAATGTGAGTTAATAGTTTTAAATAGGATTGGAGAAAAAAATAAAAAATACAAATAAGTTTCTAGAATTTAGGAAAAGAGTATTATTAGATAGAGAAAAATTAAATTTTTATACTTTATAATTTAAAACAGTGAAAAAGGTGTTGTGAAATAGACAAAAAAAATATCATGACATAATTAATAAATCATCATATTAAATGTTACATTAATAGAAAAATACCATGTCAGCATAATTAATAGAAAAATTTTAGTAATATTAACAATTAGATTAACATTGTTAATTTTAAAAAGTATAAGAATTTAATTTTTATAAATTAGTTTATAAAAACTAAATCCACCACTTTATCAAAATATAAAAAGTAATTACATAATTTAATCAAGCTGAGAGGTAAAGGAAAGGAGAAATGCTCTGGGCGGGTAGTTCATTGGTTAATAATCAAGTCCACCGTTGTTGCGGCTTTATCTATAATTATTGAATTAGTTTGGCTGATTTAGCTAATTAAGCCCATCTTGACTCAGACAAATAATAATATTAGGCTCATCAATTTATTTAGTGTTTTATAGACGATTACAAGCAAGCGAAATAAAGTGGAAATTTATTCTTCTAGAAGATGAAATATTTAGGCTATGGCGGACTGGACCAGAACGGCCAAGTCAACCTGTTTAGTCTTTTACAAACTTATTTTTCACGCTTCAACATAATATTCCAACATTTAGCAGTGCAATTTACTGTAGTACGTAGCAGCGACCTTCCCAGAAGCCTCACTAAGAATTGCATTGCTACCTTTGTCATCCATCAATCTTTAATAAGGTAGAAACGAAGACGACGACAAAACGGCACAATAGTTGGAACAAAGACATATGGTGCATGCTTTTTCTTGGTGCCCACCAAACCGAATAATTAACTCTCTTTTCCCCTTCTTTTCTCTTTTTTAAGATTAATATTTGTCGTGATTATTACGCGGTGAATCTTATAAACGTATTTGTAAAGTATCATAGCTGTAAATAATATAGATCTGGTAAGTAAGTTATAATATATTTATATGGAAATATTAATTTATCACTATTATATATAAAAACAGAAATTTTAAAGTAGAAATAGTGAAAGATATATATATATTTTTGAGAAGTTATTAAGTTCATTAATTTCAATGAAATTAAAAGATTGATTAAATTTTATTTATTTATTATCAACATCGAAATTCTAATTAAAATAAACTTTCTTTAATTAATATTATTATTTAAATTAAATATTTACTAATTTTTATGTATCTAATCTAATAAACATGATAACATGGAGAAATCCTTCATCAAAACTAATTAAAGAAATAATATGTTTTGATGTTATAAATTTCTTTTATTATTTTCTTTTTTGAAAAAAAAATTAATTTAAAAATTAAGACGATAATGCACACACGTCAATGCATCCATATGTGATTCGCGTGTAACAGGAACTGTTATAACACAAAGTGAGCCTTTATATAAGATATCGCAAATCATCCTAAGGGGAAGCTTGAGTTAAATTGAGGAAACCCCCCATTTAGTGCCAATCTTTACCGTATTCACCTCAAATTGGAAATGTCTGAAAAATCATCAACTAATCCTGCACGTAACATCGACGACCCCCTATGCATTAGCACCACCAAAAGCATTGAGAGACAAGAGCAACGGATTGAACCTCAGGGAAAAAGATATGAAACGATTACAAACAACTGGAAGGGAGAAGAAACCCGGATTGAAAAGCAAGGCGTTGCTGTGACCAGCTCTCTTCAACAAGCCAAGGTGGAGGGCAACATTTCTTATGGAAGTCTTCAGAAGCCCCCAGTTTGCAACGCCAACGAATATGGCAATTGCATAAAGCCGGTGGACGAGGACAACCGCCCTTGCACTGTCTACAACAGATGCAAGCGTGACAATCATTGATCCGGACTGCTGAATCCTTAAGCAAGACGATTTATTGGCTTTCTCATGAATCCACTGCTTGTTTGGACTAATAATGCCATCTGTGTGAGACTAGGAAAAGTTTTTAGTTAGTGATTCTAGGTTTATTAGAATTAATGCCAAACGATCCAATCTTTATGTCTTGATTGAAAAATTATATAAGAGACTATCGTACCTTCAATCTATTTTCCCTTGCTCCTTAATTCTTTAGGGTTCGGTTTGTACTTCTGTAACAATACAATTAAAAGGTATTCCTCTCTAATTTCGTAAATACTTCAGTTACTTCTTTTTTTTCCTATCTTTTCCTCTCTTAGCCACATCGTCATTAGGAATCTCATGATGATTAATTCAGCCTTAGGCAACATCTAGCGATCGATATGAAAGACAACTATGTTTGATCTCTCGTTGTCTTTCTAATGCAACTTGTAAAATCCGAATTCTACCCCATTTGTATATCTCCTTTCAATAAAAAATTGACCTTCAAATTAATTTTAAATTAAAAAACATTTCATCATATGAAATGAATTACTGTTTGCATTTTTAATGACTCTTAATTAAAGCTTAACAGGAGAAACGGTGGTGTGGTTAATTAATTTACTCAACAAGTAATAAGGGAGGGTAACAGGTGGATGATGTTAGTTGAGTTATTATAAAAGCGTTGTAGAGCGAAGTTAGAATAATATTTGGTACACTTAATATAAATATTTTGAAGGATGTCAAAAATTGTTTGATAATATTCTCATTTATTTCTGGTAAATTGAAAAATAAAGTAAGATACTCAACTTTATTAAACAAAATGATGAGTTATAGAATGAAAGAAATAAATAAAATAAGATAATTTAGTATTAATTCAAATTAACCAAATAAAAAAGACGAATGTCATTCTCACTATAATTTTATGAATTATTGAAGGGTAAAATGAAAAGACATTTGGCAAGTTTCACTAAATTTTTGTTATTAAACATTAACACCTTCTAAAGGAATTCTGAATTGTAACTTTATCAAAAGCACAAACAAGCTTCTCACAAAAGCTCAAAATATTTAAAACTTTGAAGATCAAGCAATTTGCTTCTATTTTTTTAATAAGAAAACTCTTTTATAAGTTGGATCAAACACTTACTACGTTTGTTCCTTAGATGAAAGTAGTGATGTTCAACGGGAAGTGAACGGGATAAGTTCGGTGGGGCTTCCATGGTAAGGACACTAATGGTAATTGAAAACATCCATCATGGATAAAATTAAATCATGATATCAACATTTTATCCGTGGAAATAAATTCAATTTTTTTTATGAGATTCACATCAACTTTTTAAAAAATGTATACATCAACTTTTTAAAAAATGAAAGAGATATATGTTGATATGATATACTTTTACATGTGAAACAATTTAATCATGATTGCTTTCATATATTCGTCTACAATATATGAAAGCAATTGTTGTGCACTGTATTTTCAATTGGCCAATTGTCACTGATGCTACAGCTCAAAAAATTATGCCCCCTGTTAACTATATAAATAAAAGAATAGTATACTTTTTCTCTCCCTTTCGCTTTCTCGTGTTATTGGTCTACTTTATTAAAGCAAATATGAGATAAAAAACAAAATTATGGACAACTGAAGTTTTCTCGCGAATTACTTAAAAGGTAAAATAGGAGTATATAGAAGTTTCATTAAATATTTTTATTAAACATTAATACCTTTTTTAAAATAGTTTTTATGTGTAATTTGATCAAAAAATATAAACTAATTTCCCGTATGAAGTAAAGATTTTAAAATTTTGAGAGCCAAACCTTTTAATTTCACTTTTACAGGAAAAGAAACTCTTTTTTATAGATTGTGACAAGCACTTACTAAATTCATTCCATTTCTTTGAAGAAAGTGGTGATGTACAATAAGAATTGTTGGGGATAAGTTTTGGTGGGGTTTTCATAGAAAGGACAATGGTATCATGGATAAAATTAATTCATACTATTAACATTTTGTCTTAAAAAAGAATTAGATTATTTTTTTTCTTTTATTAGTTCAACATCAACTTTAAAAAAGATATATACATCGCTCCTAAAAAATGAAAAAGATGTATGTTGATGTGATATTCCATGAAAAAGATGTATGTTGCTGTGATATTCCTTTACGTGTGAAACACGTTAGTTATAAATTACAAAAATTATAAATATATATTATTTAGATTTGCCATTGACAAAAATATAAAAATTAATTTTTTAAAACTTTGAATGAAATATATAGTTGTTAAATTCATTTCTTATGAAATTTAATTAATTAAAATGGTTAAAGTGATAAGGTTAAAAGTTTAAAAAATTTGACAAACTGTCGACAATTTATCCGGGACAACAGTAGTTAATTTGTGGGATTCCCAAAAGCTTTGTTGCTTTTATGTATTGCCTTATCTATTGTTCTATGCTGTATTTTCACGTGGTCAAGTCAATGATGCTATGGCCCAAAAAATTTGCTCCCCAATTAACTATATAAATAAAAAAAATAGTGAACTTTAATGATTGGTCTACTTAATAAAAGCATATATGATATTAATATTCTTAATTAAAGTAACTTAGTGGGAATAAAAGGGAAGAGGTCAAAAAGAAAAAGAAATCATGGAGAAAGTTAAGTACTCAGCTAGCTAGATATGTCTTAGTACATCATAGAAGCATATGCAAATTATTGTCCAAAAGAAAAACAATGGGGAATGATTTCAAGAGAAGAATTCTCCATGTCTCTCTTGCAATCTCAGCTATGCTATTTTCAATACATGCCTTTGAAACCCCAACCTCTCCGGAAGTAAACAATGTCATCGCCCTATGTAATGGTACCATCACTGAAGATTGCGTCCTCAATGTAAACGGAGAAAATCACTTGGCTAAACGTTCTCTCCAAGGAGGATTGGCATCACGACACATATGTTATGGAGCTATTCAGAGGCCTCCGATTTGTAATGCTAACACCTATGGTAATTGCATAGTACCCGTCGGTCCATCTTACCGGCCTTGTACCGTTTACACTCGATGCAAGCGAGGCATACGGTAATATATTCCTCTCTAGCTAGATCATTGCAAAGATGATGATGCTTCAATTTCTCTTTTGAGTTTTTCAAGTTTGTATTAGTCATTTCGTCTGTTTGATCAGTAATATTTTATGTAAATTTGATGATTAAGATCTTGCAGAGATTTAATATTGTTGCCCTATTTTGATTTGAATTTAAAATAAGAGTGAAATATGTACTTCTTCTATATGTTCATCTTACTTATACAAATTACAAGATGGTTGTATCTAAATTATGACTTGAGAAAGAAAATATCTAGGAATAATATTCAGAATTAGCTTATTCTTGGTGGGGCTTCATTTTGTCCTTAGACAGCTGTGCCAGCGCAACGCCTTGTATTTTTGCTCCGATACCTCAATTATTGTACTTTTGACGCTGAGTGTGAGTGATGCCCCTTCGTCCCAATTCTCTTCCATCTTGTTGGCAGAAAATGATAGGGATGACGACGAGTCTTTGGAAATTTATTTGAAGTTCAACACAAAATTGAAATTCCTCAGGGTAAATGCAACTCCAATGAATCTGCTTTTACTTACATCAATTTTGTTCTTAGCTAGCTAGGAGCAAATTGGCTTACTCCTATTTATTTATTAAAACGTAATTATCATGACCAAGTCAATGAAAAAGCTGTCATTTTACAATGGAAAAGGGCAGAGCAAAGTCCCCTACTAAAAGTCCATAACCAATCAATGAAATGGTATCCTTTCATCGCTTATCCTTAGTTCTGGCTTTTATAGCCAAGCTACGCGTTTATCTAGTCCTACTCCCAAATTAAGTTGAGTACGACTGAAAGAAACAAAGATGAAAACGGGATCAATGAGATCTTTTCCATTGTTCTCTTTAGCTTCCTTGCTGTTTTTCCTATTGAGCACAACTCGGTCCAGAGCAGCCGCTCCTGAAAGCAAAATATATACTACAAGGTATGAGGAAACGATTGCTGAATACATAGAAGGAGAAACACTGTTGTTCTTCGGGGGAACCGGAATCGGCCAGAGGCATCTTGCTGGACCTCCATCGAGGCATATTTCTTATCGAAGTTTGGAGAATCCACCAATCTGCAATGCAAATATTTATGGAAATTGCATACAACCTATTGGTAAGAGTAATCGGCCTTGTACTGTATACGATCGTTGCAAGCGGGGACTCTAATAAATTCTAGGAGAAAGATGTGAAGATTTGATGTTCTGCATTCCTTTTATGTTAATGTGATTGGGAAGAATGTTGTTGTTTGTTCTGTTTGTCACGGAGTTTAAGAGGATGTTAAAATATTGTGATTCTTTTTGCTTTTGGCTGCCAAAGGCTATTTGCGCAGCACCCTATTGCTTTATGTACGGGAACATCGTCTCTCCAAAGCTGGCTTTCTATGCCAAGATAAGTCTTCCATTAACATGGTGATAGACTTGTTATGGCATTCTAGCTTTTGGTTCAATAAAATTCTTTTCTTTTTTTTTAAAAAAAAGGAATATTGTGATTAATAAGAAAGAATTATATGAATGATCATTGTGATTCCTAGCACTATGAGTAGCAAATGCCATGCTAGGAAGCAAAAACCATGAGTAATTATCTTCGTTTCCTCCTTCAAATGCTGAACATAGCTCAATGTCCAGCACAATCAAGTTGTCTGTTTTTCAGGCTGCCACATCCTGAGTCTGCAAATCAATAATTAAGGTACGCAAACCGGTAAAAAGTTCTATTCAAGGTCTGTTTCATAGCACAATCTAACCAGAAAAATTCGATGGAAGTAAGACAAATCCAAAATCTCCAAGATAATTGATCCTATTTAAGAAATGTTTAACCCTCCTTGCGATACTGAAATGTGAATTTGAGGGGGAAAAAGACCAATGCGATATACATGAGCAGAAGGTTAGAAATGTTAACGACATCAATTACGAACCCTCTTTTTTGTCTAATAAATCGTTCTTGCGTTTCATGTTCAAGATTTTATTCTAAGAACATGATATAACTAACTTCGAGTACATGATTTCACCTTTGTTTGGGGACAATGACACTGCTCATAAAAATCGTGACATTCATCTACTGCTTGATGATTCTACAAAGATTTCGAGCATGGATCTAATACCTGAGGAACACTGTCATACATTTGAGTAAAGAACACTTTTCCTCCCCCAAAACAACTCTAGATTTTCTACTTTTAGGTTTGTTGCTAATTTAATCAGATCGGCGATCTCTTACGGGAGCTCAACTGATCGAGCACCTGCCATAATGATTATTTATCGTACAGAACTCTACTTCCATTTCGCATGTGATTATTCAGCAACAACCAACAGATTATTGTCTAAATGTAATGGAAATCTATTAAACTGAGAGGTTAATTTTTTGGAGGTGAGTAGGATTTCTCTTTCAAGATGATTAAACAAAGTCTAGTCATGGGAAACATGTTACAACCGTAATGGGAAATGATGAATTGATTAACTAAATTGATTTTAAACGTAAACGTTGGTGACTCTTAGCTACTTCAATGGATGTAATAGAGCCAGCTAGTTGTTATTTAAAGACTTAGAAGAGGTAGAAGCAATAATCAATAGTAATGAAAATGTAGAAAAGTGATTTAGAATTTTAAAGGTTTTGTCCTTTGTACTGTACATGGACACTTTTGTTTGACAGAAAAACGATCATTTAAGACGTATGCCCTCAAGTAGAAAGACATGTGTAGCGGCTGACGAGGACACAACTCATAAGAGGAGTTACGATATGGCCAGGATTCTACTTACAGGAAAAAAATCTATCATCATTTCCAATTTGATTTCTTTCAAATTAAATGGGGAAATGTGCACAATTCACATCAAAGAGGAGGAATCAGAGAATTCCTAAAGCCCCACCGCACAGGAGAAACTCCGGCAACCAAAACAAGGCCAAGGCGTACCAAACCAGGAGAGAACTCTGGATTGAATTCAAAACGATGTGACAGCTCTAAACAACAAGGCTTTAGCAAGGGTGCTGTGAAGAGTCGCCTACCGTTGTAAGACAATAGCTGGGGAATCAACTGTACCCAGGCCACATCCAATCAAAACCCAAACGCAGAATCTCCAACTTCCAAGCCTAATCAAACCACCCCAATTTTTTCTCCTAGAGCAGCTACCAAGGCAAATTACTTTGATGGATAATCTAATAGTCTAATAAGTAATTTTAATATTTAATATTTAACATTTAAGATTTTTTTTAATTTTATTTTACTTGGATGATAAATAAATCTAAGTTTAGAAATTTTTTTTTTACTCCAAGAAAGTTTAGGATAGAATATTTTTTTATTTTAATTTACTTTACTTACACTTCAAGTTTAAATCAAGTAAAATTAAACTATTATAAATAGCACATTTAAGGTTAGTTTTTAAAAAATTTAATTTTTTTTAAATTATTGAATAATATTACATTTTCTCTTGAATTTTAAATGTAAATTTTTGCGTTTGAAACTTGGTTATCACATTATAACATTTTTTATCTACGGTTGCAAAAAAAATTGTAACCATAGGTTGAAAATCTGCTGCCTTAGGTTAAGGTTACACTTAAAAAAAGTTTAACCTTAGTCAATGTATGAAAAAGTTTAGCTGCACTTCTTTATATGATTTTCCAACAAAATTAATATGTAGCCATTTAGCATATGGCTACAATCCTAAAACCTATGACATCGTTTAAAATATGCAGCTAAAAGGTATACATAACAATACATACAACATTCTAACATGCAACAACAGCAACCTATAAAGTACAAACCATGTAAATTTTACAGCAAACTTCAGAATATATTGATCACTAAACTTTGATGTTATAAAAAATTTTACAAAAGTATACAGCAACAAAGTTTACTGCATTCAATCTCAAATTTTACATAAAGAATGCTCCTTTATCCAAATTTGTTACTCTAGCAAAAAGCATGCTCCAACAAGTTCGCTATTCCTAAAATAAGAAAAGTAAAAGAACATTAGATTATAAAATATAATATAAAATAATCTAAAGACACTAATAAAGCTAAAGAATCTACTCAATGAAACATAGATAAAATCCTTTTCTTTACGAACATGGAATCCAGGTCATCATCTTTTGGGTCAAAAAACTTTTTTCTCGTGAGAGGAGGCTGTAAGTTCAAATTTAAAGCAATTAGATATTCTGAGTATAGATTTTAACTTAAAGCTAGTTTACAAGAACTGAACTCAAACTTAAGAATAGGTATACTCTACTTACTTGGTCATTTAGCACTTTACACATGCTTGAGAATTCCAAAATTCCAAGTGGTGGTATCAATGTTGATTTGTAGATGTCCATATAAGATTTATTTAGTTGCACCAATGTAACACCTTTAAATATCAATTTATGCAACTAATAATTAAGTCAAGCATTTCAATTAATGTCAAGCATTAAGGAAAAACACACCTCCCCAACAGTTGTATCCTTCTTTCCACCACCAAAAACTGCACTGCAAAGCAAAGTATAATCTACAGTCAAACATAATAGCATGAGAGAAGATGAAGAAGCAGAGACTTGACTTTGAGATTAATTATCAGTCTGTTTCATTATTAATAGGCTATTACTATAGCAATGAAATTAATAGTAATAATCAAACTTGTTAATACTGAGGAAGAAACTGTATAGTGTCAACTATAGGTGATCTGAATGTCTTTGACAATGCAAAGGCCATATGATCAATCCTGACTTGAAATATATCATTAAAACAATGTGCAAGCAACCGTAGAGGCTGCAATACATAAGCAAGATGTGTAAAACTAACATAACAAGCTCAAGTTTGGATGAGGTTAACATTAACCAATTAATGGCCACTTACAGTATTATTTTGTTGTGATTGAAAGATTTCAAGAGCTAAAGTTGTTTACTAACTAACGAGCTCCCCCTCCACCAATGGCGAACTCAGGTTGCTTCCACATTCTCTTAATTTTGCTTCTGGAATTTCCATCGAACTCTTGGAACAAACTGAAGAATGTTAGCCAATAATTTAAAGTGACTACTCTAGTCAAAGTAAGAAGATCTTATTCATTAAGAAACAAACTATCTACAGTGTTGATTTATTACAATCAAATATGCAGAACAATCCTTTTTGAGACAAAATTAATTGCTGCATCTGTTATCAATTTTAACTAATAACAGTTATAATGTCTAAGGCTTAATTTGTCAAAGATTGAACAATTGAATACATGAGACCATAGTTAAGTTTGCGGCAACAACAATGAAACACTAACCTACAAACACAAAAAGCCTTTTGCATATCTCGAAATGCAATTGCAACTTTCTGTTAATTTCAGGCTATCAATATCTATTGATATTAGATCAATTGAAGATGGGAAAAGGCTTTCAACAGAAGAGGTCAGATCACATAACTCACTTTAGCACAAAGTTGTAATGCTTGTTGCTGAATGCTTGCTGCTGGAAGACAATATATGGAAGCATCTATTAGAGAGAAAGTCATTAAAACTCAATAAGATGAAATTACCACACAAAAGAATTTAGAAGTAAATCCATAGCAAAAAAGTGGAATGTAATAATTACCAAGAGCCTCTCCTTAAGTATTGATAGGATTTGATCTTTAGAGTTGGCACAAAAGGTTACAACCATAGGCTTACCTAACACAGAAGTGGTAGCATAACTAATTAGCATTACTTCCAAAACAAGCAAGCATCCATATCGCATCATTGCAATTATCCCATACTACAGAAAGAGGCTAAAGCATTGCTTGAAGTTAATATAAGTAAAGAAATACAATAAAGGAATAAAAAGATTCAGATAATAATAAACTAGTAAGTATAAGGAGAAAATCCAAAACCCAAAGCTAGTCATGTATGAAGGATGCTAAATAAATAAATAAATGAAGTTAAAAGGATATCAGACTTTATCATAACTAGGAGGAGGGGGAAAGGAATTTGAGAAGTTTGTCTTACTTTCACTGTCTATGCTTAGGGCAAGAGTGAGAGAACTTCAATTATGTTTTGACTCAAACAAGTATTATGTCTTTGACTCTGCTTAAAGCATACCAACTAAATCAACGCTATTGCTTTCTTAAAGACAATACAAAGATCAGACTTAGTGTCTATAAAGGCTAATAGATGATTGGTACCCTCAGTAACTAACTGCAACTAGGTAACAATATGTCTCTGCAAATTCAATTGGTGACGCCTCAATAAAGCTTAAATTAAGTTTCCCAAACTAAATAGAAGAGGTTAAGCAAGATACAATTATGTTGATATTTTTAACCATAATTGAAGAATTTTAGTTTAAAGTTTTCTGAACATGCTATTTCCAACTACTTATTAGCACTTACAAGAAAATCTCGTAACTTATATTTAATGTCAACACTGTTCTCTCTTTAAGATTTATACAAGATTAAAACTTACTTTAACTTAAGAACAAAATAAGATATCGTGGGCTCCAAATCAGGCATTCAAGGTTAACCAAAATATCACATCAATATAATTAAATTTTTTAGGTAATGCTCATTAACTCTTTTAGTATAGCTAAAGTTTGAATCTCACTCCCTTCACTTATAATTAATTAATATTTGTTACATATCACATTAAACAATTATTGTTTAAAGTCGAGCCCCAGAGTTGAGAAAAGGGCCAGCTCCTAGATATATCTTTGCTTATGGAAGAGTTAAAATTACTCTTCTCATGCTTTTACATTTGTTCCACTTTAGCATCACCCAAAAAAGTTCAAATTTCACCAGATTATGCTATAATATAAACAACAATAGCATCTCTGAAACAGTAGAATCCAACCAAATTAAAATTTTATAGAAAATTAGCTATCAAACCACCCAACAACTTCCGTTCTTGACAATAAAGCCAAAAGAAAAAGTAAAGAATTTTTTTTTAAAAAAAAAAAAGTTAGAAACCTAAATCATGAGTCTCCTGATGATAGCCATAGTTTCGTGAGCATTTAAAAGAATTTTGCACTAGACAAGGTTTCCTATTCTTTTGGAAATCGAAACTCCAAAAAATAAAATGCACATGATAAATCTAAAATAACATCAAAAAAATTAAAACAAATATATAAAATACCTTGTATCATGGGCATAATTGGTGTTGCGTCATTGCAATAGATGGTGCTGACGGTAAGCGCTTGAGGCTAAAAAAAATAAACATAAAATCAAAAGAGTTGAGAAAATGTTTGAAGATTTCTTTAGATCCATGCCAATTGAAAATTTTCCTAGTAGCCAAACGGGAAATATGAATAAAGAGAGCAAAAGAGAATTGATGAATCGAGAAAAAAGGAATTTACCTGTCTTAGGAAAAATTTGAGAGTAAAAAGATTTGAAAATTTTTGGTGAGAAATGGAGTAAGCGAAGATATATCATCTGAGCTTATGAGAGATAGATACTATAAAGTGAGAGTGATTTTTCAAGAAAAAAAAAATTAACTGAAAGGTAAGGAGCTTTGTTTTAAGCCATTTCATGGGCCATGACTTCCTCTATTTTGGGGGGCTATTTTTTTTTGAATTTTCCTTTATTTTGTGGGTTGGTCTCTTTTTAATTTATTTTAATTTGTTTTATGTTATTACTCTTTAAATTTTGCATCTGAATGAAAATATATTTAGTGTTATATAATAAATTTAGTTACAGTATAATAAATGCAGCTAAAATTATGTAGTAAAAAGTCTAAAATGTTGTAGTGTCAATATTAAAGGCTCTTCTGAGTGCTAATCTTTGTTTTCACGCTAACTCATTGTATCAGTTGGGATCAGAGTGGGCAAAAACTCACCTAATTAATGGCCAATGATCCAGTTATGATATGTGGCAGTCCTCATGGCAAAGATCATGGAACTGAGACCTTGCGATCTGTAATGCAAAATCAAAGGGTGGCGTTGAGAGCTTTGGAGCAATGAATGAATCTCAAATTCTAGCGTTTGGAACAACGCTTGAAGAAATTGCAGATCGATTTGATACTCTAGGCATAGATGCCAATAGAAACTGGGATGACAAAAGGCCACGTACTAGAAATGATGTAGCTCACAAGCAGTCTATCGGCAAACTTATTCCTGCAAATGGGCACAGACAACAGGTCTACATGAAAGATTCAAACAAAAAAGATTATTTTACACAACTTGTAAGATAAGTTGCACATGGAAGGAATGACTATGGTGATCAAGATACCAAAGATTTCAGATTAAAGGTTGATATTTCTTGCTTTAATGGGAATCTAAATATTGAAAAACTTTTAGATTAAATTGGAGAATAGATAAATTTTTCGAATATGTGGAGATTCTAGAAGGAAAAAGGGTGAGACTTGTCACTTGCAAATTAAATGGTGGAGCTTTTGCATGGTAGGAAAGGTTATTGTTGTTTAATTTTTTACCCACGCAAGTAGACGTATCGCAAAAAAAATATAATAATGAATAGAGTATCGATCTCACAGATAATTGAATTAATTCTTACTATTAATTACTAAAATTAACACACTCTAATTATATCTAAGCAATTAAAATTAAAATTAAAACTAATAAACTAATAACTAAAACTAATCTAAAATATATTAGCAAAATTATTTTATTAATCTTACTGATTACTAGATCTAAAATTATGATATCCCTCAATACTTCATCTGAATATTGTCTCTCTCTCTTAACTTAGTTTAATAGAATAAGTTATTAACCTAGAGTCTTAAATTATTTATAAGTTTCTGTCGAGATTTTAATAAAAATACCTCTCTCAATTAATTTACTGTATATCTATACAAATTAAATTGAAGAAAGATTTATTAAGTCCCTGCTCTAATTTAAGCTACGTATAGCTTATAGGTGTATGTCTACCCTATATGCAAATCAAATCACCTAATCAACTAAGTGTATTCGACCATACGTTATTCTATACAAGGTCTACCTAAATTTTCTTCATTAAGGTTTAACCTAAGTTTTTAATTTAATATAATTGGTGGCTAGTCAACTAGAAGCATTAAGAATAAAATAAAATAAATAACTTAAATCTATAAAATATAAGTAAAAGAGAGATAAATAAATCAGACTACATATTGAGTTTAATCATAATTTAAATAAACAAATTAGTTCCCTATCAAGTCACACATTTTCATCAAATAAAATTTAAACATTAAAAACAAAACCAAGAGAATAAAAGAATAAAAAAAACTCAAGAATTGTATTCTTGATCTCCAAATATCCTTGAATCCTTCAAATTCTTCCTCGCTTCAATGACCCTCAACTATCAATCTAGTGTTTCATTCTCCCCCTAAAAGTCATTCGAAAGGTTATTCTTATAGGGCTTTAAAGTTAGACCAAGTTAAGTGAAAAAAAAAGTCAATTCTAATAAGGATTTCCTTATCATACTATGCAAGCCACGGCCTACTTCCTCCAAAGTTGTGGCCTTAACCATTTAAATAGCAAAAATCGTAATTATTCTAGGACTGTTACAGTGTTTGAACTTTGATAAGATTTTTGACCACTTTGAAAGACGAACTGGGTAAAGTGGTAAACATGAAAGTTGTATCTTTTTCTCTTATATTTCTAATGGTCTAAAAATCATCTCATTTGGAGCTTTTTAAAGAGAATTATGATAAAAATACCAAAATATATGCTTTAAAGTTCTGCACCTTGAAATTGCTCTCTTTCTTTCATTAAAATTCTTTTTTCATC